GATAATATTTTTTTCTGATTTAGAGATAGGGTAACTGAGAGTTGTTTTAAAACCTTTTATTCCATTTTCGGTCTCATGAGAAGGGTGAGATACACAGATGTTATAATTCATGCTATCACAATCAGAAGCTATTTCCTTATATACAATACACTATTAAGTGTTTCTTGGCCTATCAGGTTTAGCCACACCGTGTTGTAGATGCTTTAAAGCCAATCATCTAAAACGACCCCTCATAGCTCCCACTACAATGCATCTTTCATAGTTCTATTTCTCTAAAGTATTTAGTCTTACTTGCAAGGCCGTCTTTTGAAACTTATTTCTAGCTCCGTTTCTCTCTCAACAATATGTCTTATTCTATGGCATTTCTAAAGTCAGAATTTCTTATCTCAGAGTTTGCATATGGATGCATACAGTGTGGGCCTTCTGTCAGGCCCTGAAAACTCTCTATAAATCTATTTCCCACATGTGGGGATATGGCTACAGGGATACAGAAATATGTAGGGATACACCTAGAGGGATGTGGTATGGGAATACATGGGGATATGGGCACAGGGATGTAGTCTGTGACGATGTGGGGACACTGCTGTGGGCCCAGGGCTGTCGGGGGCTGCTCACCTGCATCAGACTGGCCTGCAGAAACACCCAGCTGTCCTGGCTGAAGGGGCTCTGTCTAATGGATCACGGGACCACGTGGAGATCACTGGCACTGCAGAGATGACATAAGACAAATTTCAGCCCCATGGACTCTGGGGACCACACCACATCACAAGGACACATTGAGGTTACTTGGACTGCAGGCTGTGGGCAAAAAGACCACAAAGACATGAGACCACTTGGAATGTGTGAAGAAGGAACCCGTAGGACACGGTGACTTGGGGCAAATGTAGGACAAATTTCAGGGGATTCAGTGAGGCACCTCTTCAGGGAAACCTCCTCACCTCTTCCTTCTTTCTCCTTGCTGCTGAGTGCGATGGTGTGCAGGTCAGTGTTCCACGGCTTCGACCCCTCTCCAGGCAGATTCCCATTCCTCCGAGACCCTCATCCCTGAGACCCTCAGAGCTGTGGTGGGACTGCAGATAGCCATGGGCCTGTGCTCCGTGTTCCCCCTCTGCAGGGGTGGGGATGGGTCCGGCAGTGCTGCCAGGAGCTCTGGCCAGCCGGGGCACAGGGGGACACGGCTGCTGCTGCGCCAGAGGATGGCGTTGTGCTCGCAGGGAAGGTGGGGAAGAGAGAAGGGGATGTTTGGGTGATGGTATTTGTCCTCCCAAGACACTGTAACCGTGATGGAGCCAGGCTGTCCTGGGGATGGCTGAACCTGCCAGTGGGAGGTGGGGAATGAATGCCTTGGTTTGCTTTTCTTCCATGTGCAGCTTTTTATTCCCTTATTAAACACCTTTATCTCAAACCACAAGGGTTTTTTTTCACTTTGACCATTTGATTCTCTCCACCATCCCACCAGGGATCATGTGTGAGGCTCAGTTGTTGTCCAGGATTATACCATGACAGAAGGCAAGTAAAATTAGTCCTTCCCTTTAGAGGTGCAATAAAACTGACCCTTCTCTTCCCTGCTTTTTCTCATGTGCTGGGCTGAGAGGTGGACAGAGCAAGCTGAGGCACCCCCTGGGCTGTTTGGAGCAGTTTTGCATGTCTGGAGCAAAGTCTTCCTTGTGGTTCCCTCTGGATGTGGCACACCCAGGACAAACACCGGTGTTCAGAGACGAGGGACAGGGAGGGATCTAATTAGACATTTATTCTCCAGCATCTTGGCTCTCAGAATAAGGCAACATTTGAAAAATTGAAACTGAAAATGAAAGGCAAAAATAGGCAGATCATAAGAAAAGGAAATAGAACCCAAAACAAGTCTGATATTATAATTTTGTTTTCTTTTTTGGAAAATGCAGGTTCACTGAAAAACCAATAACACCTGCTTGTAAGAAAGAATCAGTTCTTAATATTCTGAACTAATCTGAAACAACTCAGGTGGAAAAAACATTTTCCTGTGGATATTTTCAAGAAGAATATTTTACTGTTTTATAATTCAAGATGATGCTTTTATTGCAATATTTGAATTAATGCATAGTTTAAAGTGTGAAAAATTGACTAAAAAAAGAAGACAAAAATATCATTTACATAAAATATTTTTAAAATTTAATCTTAGGAATGTCTTTTCATTTGTCTTCTGGAACAGCGTTATTTCCCATGTTTTTGGATTTTTTTAATCACAGTTCTAAAATTTGTGTGACAAGTAAAAAACAATTTGTGGCTTAGCTTAATAGTTAAAATCTAAAAATATCTGTGGCACAAATTATAGTCAACATTGCACATTGTGTGTCAAATTTTGGGTGTACTTCAGTGAACTGTGGGTTGATGCTGCTTGCCTTGGGAGCCCAAGTTTGCTGCCTCTCTGCAGCAGAGGCACGTCTAGAAGGCTGTGAGGTCTGCCCTGACATTTCTAAAGCCACCTTTCCTGGGAAGTCTGCTGCAGGCTGGTTCTTGCTGATCTCTGGCCTCAGCACTGGGAGCATGGCTGCACGCTCACCTGGTTGTGTGTGAACAGGCAGACAGAGTTTGTTTCATGCTTAGCTTGTCTGAGGATGCTTCTGCGTTGTTGAGAGGTTGTGATTAAGACCTCCACTGACAGCCAGTGAGAATCCAGGTGGGAAGAGACAGCCAAGGCCTGCGGGGCTGTCAGGAGACATGGCTCAGGTGTTACAAACATGATGGTCCCACCGATGAGCAGGTGGAAGATCATTGCTGGAGTCTGCTTTGCTGACCGGGACCACTGCAGCAGTTGCTGGATTTTGGCAGCAGGGGTGGTTTCTTCTGATATTTGCATGGTTTGGAAGCAGCTTGTATTTTTTATCCTTCCCTGTTTTTGTTCTTGTGTGGACATACTTCTGCTCTAGCCAGTGACTTGAGGCTGCAGAATTAAACTGGGGAAGGTTTAAACTGAAAGGAAAATGTTATGTGACAAATGGTTTCCTTCAGGGCCAAAAAAAGAAGGACCTACTGATTTACATATTTGCATTGTAGCCAGGAGTTTGCCTCAATGATCCTGATGGCTCCTTTGCAAGTCAGCATATTTTGTGATTCTGAGGTGAGAATGTCCAATGGTAAAAAGGGCTAAACTGGCTGGGATCAGGAGTGCTGGACATACTGACTCCTGTCAGAGGGTGACATCCTCATCTTGTAGGCAGTGCAGTTGCTGAGGAGCCACCTTTGGGCAGTAGAGGGAGGTGTAGCTGTAGCTGGGGGTGAAGCCCAGATCATAGGGGAGTTCTTTGGAGTTGCTGAAATGGATGTGAGGAATTGTCTCCACCAAACCTTTCCATACTGCCTGTAGAACTGTTTATGGTAGTGGGACTCTGACAGTACATTGTTCATTAAAGCTTTTGATATTTAAGCTCAAATGTGCTTGCAGGGATACAATAAGGGGCACATCCTGTTGGTGCTGTTTGTGGGAGGCCCTGTGTGCCTGTCCAGACCTGTGGGACTGGCTGTGTCTGTGTGTGACCCACCTGTCCTCTGGGGACTCACAACTGCTTGGACCTGGGGCCTTGGAGCTGTGACAGCCTCCTCTCTCTCAGGCTGCTGGATCAGGCAGCTCCCAACAGTGGTGATGGAGGGGGAAAGCTCTTTCCATGGTCCCATGCTCTGGATGTGAACCCCAAGGTCGGTCTCAGGCTGAGGGATGTGAGAAAAACTCTGGAGAGAGGAGCAAGGATCCCAGCATGCCCATGGATGGCCCACGGTGATGCCACCAACATCGTCCTGAACAGTGTGAGCCAGGCAGAGCCACAGAATGGCCAGGGCTTGCTCTCCACTGGGCACTGGTGAGCCCAGAGCAGTTTGGTGTGGCCACTGGGGGCTGTGGGGCTGAAAGGAAGTTCTCCAATGAGATGCTGATGCCTTTTTGGGGTACCTAAAAACAGAGACCAGACAAAATTAAGGGAATAATAAGCAGTTATATTTTTTTAAGGTCCTTCAGGTACATTTCAGGCAGACAAATTCCCCCAGGGGCTACACCCAAAGTGGACAACGGTTCACAGGTTTTCATACTTTTATAACTTTTATAAGTTTGGTCCTTTTGCATATTGGGGGTTAATGTTCCAATTACAGCTTCGGGTAATGAAGTCATTTACCCCCAGTTTGCTCCCCCAACTCACTTTTGTTTCCATCTCTCAGGCCTGAGGCAGTGAGGTGTCCTTGATTCCCAGGCCTGGAGAGTAATTGTTGTGTCTGCCCAAAATGGGAAAGCAACAGCTACTAGCACTGTATATGGAGTTTAGAGTTATACACTAAAGAATTGCAGAATTACAAATATATGAAAAATATAAAAGCTAAAATACTAAGTCATCAATGCCAAGAATCAGTTGAGTCTGGGGGAAGCAAAGGGTGGTTAGACAGGAGAGAGGTCCAGAGGAGGTGCCCAGAACAGGAAGAGCCCATAGGGCACCCTGCTGGCAAAACTTCTCCTTGCCCATGGAATCTCCAAGGGAGACCAAAAGGACTGAAGGGGGAAGAAAGAAAAGGATAGAAAAGGGTCTGGAAGAAGTACAGCTTTGCCTTTTTCCCCTGGTTTACACCCATATAACCCCCCACCCAGCCCTGAGCCTTCCCTGTTTTTCCTGAGGAGCCAGTTGTGGCAGAGGTTGCAGACAGAGGAGACAGGATGTGCTGCCTGCAGCCCACAGGAGGGCAGGGAGCTACAAACACTGCCACCTTCAGAGCAGGACTCCTGGACAAGCTGTACATGTCCCACACAGCCCCAGTGCCAGAACTCATCCATTCCCTTCTCCCACATCCAGAGGTGCAAGCGACTTTCTCTGTTTCATTAGCCCTTCATTACTGTCAAAGGGAGCTCTGTCTACGTCTCTGGCCAACCCAGAGGAGATGCAGCTGAGGTGCACCTGGGCCCAGGTGTGGGTGGAAGGGAGCAGCTGTCTGCAGTAAGGACCATCAGTTGCTCCAGTGTGGGACTGCGGGGGTTTGGATGGATGAGGAGTGGGACCAATCCTGTGGGCTGCACCCAGACCTGCAGGTAGGGGGTGTTGCTGCCCCTCCTGCAAAGACAGACCCTGTAGCCCAGGAAAAGGCCGAAAAGGAAGTCAAGTTCCTTCCCTCTTATTTAATTCTGCTGAGACACCAAACTTGTGGGTTTGTGGTTGCAAAACAACTCCCTATTTCATAAGGCTGAGAAGAAGCCATTTCACCATCAAGTGACCTGATCTAAGAAAGAGAAACAAAAAGTCCGGATAGCCTTGCCCCCAAGGTCTGCCAGATCCTAAGTTGTCACAGGGGCCCAGCCCTGGGCATGTGACTGGACATTGTGGTTCCAGTTCAACCATCCCAGCCCTGCAGTCGTGCTGCAGAAACCCAAGCCGTGGGACAGAAGGCAGCTTGTGACAACGAGTTTGTATCAGGGGCCACAAGAAGCCACGCAGCTGCTCGGTGCCTCTGGCCAACGCTTTGCTCTGAAGAAGCCCTGCCTGAGCCGAATACAGAGGGAGGCAAGAGGGACGTGATGCTGCCTGTGACCCGTGTGCTGGCCTTGGGTGAGTGCCAGAGGCTGTGTGGATTCCCAGAGGGCGACAGGAGGTGTCCAGACACTCCACCGTGATGTTACACAGCTGCTTCTCTTGCAGGCGCTTGGCTGGTGTCACAGGGCGAGGCTACACCGAGTGAGTATCTTGAGGAGGTAGATGGGGAGTTTGGACACATTTCTGGGCCCACCCATCTCCCTCCACACCCCCCTGGAACAAAATTCACCCTTGTGTGGAAACAGGGCCTGGTGGCAGCCCCAGGCTCATGGCAGGGCAGCTGCTGGGGGCTCCCGGTCTGGCTGGCAGCATCTCTCTCCCTGTGCAGGTGCCCCCACAATCTCCATCTTCCTGAAGCCACCTGGGGTGATCCCACCTGGAGGCTCCACCACCATCTGCTGCATTTGCCAGTGCAGCTATGGGACCTTTGTGCTGTACAAGGGCAGCCGCCAGCTCCACACCCTGCAGCAGAGTGGCAGCAGGGCTGAGTTCTCCATCTCTAATGCCACCTACAAGGACAGAGGTAGCTACAACTGCCATTACCTGGAGGGAGACACTGTGCTGGCTCGAAGTACTGAACTGGAAGTCCTTGTGGAAGGTGAGGAATGTGCTGTTTTCCCTCCTGTGTGGTCACACACCCCAGGGCACACCAGGATGCCCGTGGCCATTTCCATGATGGACAGGGTTTTTCTCTTCTTCCTTGGCTTGGAGAGGTGGGGACCATCTTCACCTCTGCCTGAGCCAGCTGGTGGCTTCACAGAGACCCTGGTGCTGCTGGCACCACATCAAAGCCCTCTGCACCTTCTCATGCCCTCTCCTGTCCCCACAGAACTCCGTCTGCCCAGACCCGACCTCTCTGTCCTGCCTGGGCACGAGGTGACTGCGGGAGCTGACGTGATGTTCCGCTGCACGCCCACACACCCCATCACCGGCTGTTTCCTGTACCTGGAGGGCCAGATCCGAGCCCAGCTGCTCCCCAGGGAACGAGGTGACTACAACCTCTCCCTGGTGCAGAAAGGTGACAGCGGCCGCTACAGCTGCCAGTGCTACACCTTCAACGCTTCGAGAGAATGGTCTGCTGTCAGCAACACCCTGGACTTTGTGGTGAGAGGTGAGAATCCCCCCAGCCACATCCTGCTCCACTCTTCCTCCCAGCAATCTGTCACACCCTGGGGGAGCTAGAAAAAATATTTAGGGCAGGAAAGCAGCTGTATGAAGTGACCAAGCGAGGGGTTCCAGCTTCCTTCACCTGTGTTTGAGCCTGGCCAGCTCCTCAGAGAACCTATAGATGACCTAGAGACCAGGGTTGCTGGGCTGACAGGTGGGGATAAGAGTGTATAAGGGATGCAGAGGACATTTCTCCCTGCATCTCCCAGCCCCAGGGACAGTCATATGTCTTGTCACAGCTCAGTCTCACCATCTCACTGGCAGTGGCATCTGAGGGCCAGCTCCATGTTTCTTCCCTCCTTTCCATCTTTGGTGCCATTTGGTGGGGTCTGGTGGTGAGAGGGTTTGGTGCCACAGGTGAGAGGCTGTGAGTAGGGGGTGTACCAGGGGACAGGGATGTGGAAGGTGCAGCTGGGGGCCTCCTCGGTGATCCCTTTGCTCCCTATGAACTTCCCTTTGTGTTTCTTTCACCGAGGACCTCCCTGGGATACCCCCTTGCCCTGAGTGTCCCCTTGGATCCCCTGTTGCCCCTATGGGAGGACTGGAATCTCCCGGCGGGTTCCTCCCCAGTGACGGTCCCTTCCGTCCCTGCAGATTACACGCTGTGCAACACCGTGCGCCTGGCGCTGGCGGCCGGGCTGCTGCTGCTGCTGGGGCTCATCGCGGCTGAGGCGGCGCGGAGCCGCTGCTGCGGGGGCTGCGGGAGCCGCCCGCTCCGCCGCTTATTGCCCTGCAGCGACCTGCGCTGGGATGAATAAACCGTCCCTGCCGCCATCCCTGTCCTGGTTCCTGTCCTAGTCGCGGTTCCGGTCCCGGTCCCGGCTGCCTCGGGGGTCCCGCGGGGCGGGCGGGCGGTGAAACACCCAGGAACACGCAGGGGGTGGGCTGTGCACCCCCGGGCGGCGCGGTGACCGCTGCATTGACCGCTGCACTGACCGCTGCACTGACCGCTGCATTGACCACTGCACTGACCGCTGCACTGACCACTGCATTGACCGCTGCACTGACCGCTGCACTGACCGCTGTGCTGACCGCTGCGCTGCACTGACCACTGCATTGACCGCTGCACTGACCGCCGCACTGACCGCAGCATTGACCGCCGCACTGACCACTGCACTGCACTGACCGCTGCACTGACCGCCGCGCTGACCGCCGCACTGACCGCCGCGCTGACCGCTGCACTGACCGCTGCACTGACTGCTGCATTGACTGCTGCATTGACCACTGCACTGACCGCTGCGCTGCACTGACCGCTGCACTGACCGCTGCGCTGACCACTGCATTGACAACTGCACTGACCACTGCGCTGACCGCTCTTGCTGCACAGTGACCACTCCACTGACCACTCCTGCCACGCACCAACTGCTCCAGCCGTGTCGTGCCCACTCCTGCTGCACACTGGCCACTCCACTGACCTCACCTGCTGCACAGTGACCATGCTGGCCATGCAGCGACCGCACCCATGCAGTGACCAGCACGGCGACCTCTCCCACCACGCAGTGACTGCTCCTGCTACCCCACTGCACAGTGATTGCTCCCACTGCCCTGCAGCAGTGATGCTCCAGCCCTGCCGTGACCACTCCCACAGCACAGTGACCACTCCTGCTTCACAGGCCTCTGTTGCTCACATTCGTTTATTATTTTAAAACACTGACAAAACACATCACACCATCATCTATATATATAAATTTACCTTTGTAGCAATATAAATTTATATATATAGAGCCTTTAAATCTCTGTACATTCAGGACACACAGTTCCAGAATAGCTGCACTGGCTACAACAGAAGGATTTTCATTATGAAAACACAGAGAGGAGGCGCTGATATCAAAAACACACACAAAAAAAAAGAAATTAAGAAAGAGTGCAAAATGAATGAAAGTGCAAAAAAGCTTTTGTTATCATAATCACACTCCCTCCACAATATGGTCCCCATTCCCCCTCCAAGTACAAGTGAGCCTCAAGCCCCCGAGGGAAGGGCTGGGCTGGAAGAAGGGAGCCAAGCTGCAGCCCTGTCTTTCCCTCTCTGCATCGAGGAGCTCTCCTGGAGGATGAGGAGTGAGGAACCTGAGTGGCAAAGTCACTCCTGTCCTGGCTCCCTCTTCCAACAACCTCATGGCACCCACGGGCCCAGATGTGTCCCTGTGGGCAGCAGCTGCCATAAGCCCCCAGCCCTCCCAGACCACTGGAGGGTGCTTTTCTCTTCAGACAGTGCTTGTGATCGCCGTGGAGAGCAGCAGAGGAAGGCGAGGGCAGGCAGCTGCGCTCTGGTGGGGCAGGCTCTCTCTGTGTGAGGGAGCTCCAGGCTGGCTGCTCTCATGGAAATGGAGACCTTGGCTCACACTGTCCCAGTGCTGCCTATTTCCACTGGGAGGAGGAAACAGTTTCCCAAGAGGCTCCAACTGCTCCCACGCACCCAGAGTCAGCCACAGACCAGCCCCCCCAGGAGACAGCCCATAGCTGAGGCTGGAGCACGTAGTGGGACTTCTCCCATGGCTCCAGCTAAGCCCTCTCAACACCAGCTGCAGGGGCAGGAATGGCAGAAACAGAGACTTGGGGACCTCCACTCAGAAAAACATTCAACTTGAAGAATTCTTCATTGACTTAGAAAAGCTGGCTGCAGCCACAACCCTCAGAAAGGCCCCAGAGAACCTGTGAGCCAGACCCAGCCCACTGTCCTCTCTGGCTTCTTAGTGACACGGCAGTAAATGTCCCTGTGAGGAATCTGGTCAGGCAGCAGGGGAAGGACAGAAAATTTGGTGCTTCTGCCTTGGTCACAGCTGTCCTTAACAGTCCCTGAGGGGGGACTTCCACTCAGTGCTCTGGGGGGTTGGAGGACCAAGGCCAGGGGTACAGCAAACCTTCCTTCTTGCTGGGACCAGGGCCTCCCTGCTGGGATCAGGGACAACTGCTCACAGAGGACACATCACATGAAACCCTGGGATGGGTGTCTGCTGCCTCCACAGCCCCAGAGACCCCCCACCCTAAAACAGCAACACATCAACAGCAGGGGAATGGCATCATGGTACTCCCACAATCACCCATCCACACGTACACGATGCTTTGGGTTTGGTTTTAAAGGACACAGAAGGTTATAAGTTTTAACAGTAAATAGCCCTTGACCACCTACAAACCCTGTAACTCCCTCACCCGGATAAATCCAGCAGCTTTGTACCCCAACAGGTACATCAGCCTGAGAGGCTGAGGAAGTGATGCTCAATGCAGCAGGTGTGACACAGCCTGCCAGCTCCCCCCACCCTTGCAGTGGGACTGGTGCTCCTGACAGCTGCTCCCAGCAAAGAGCTCACCCAGTGGGGACCTGGGCTCCAGCTCTGCAGCCAGACCCCCCAGACAAGGGGCAGCACCCTGGCAGTCCAGTCCAGGTCATGTCTGTTTTGAAGAGGGAGGTGAGGAGAGCCCAGGGCAGGTGGTGCCGTGGCTGGCACAGCGTGGGGATGCACCTCTGCCTGGGGGGCTGGTGCCCAGGCAGAGCACGGCTTGGCTGCACTCAGCAGCACAGCAAGAGCCAGTGGTGCTGGTTGTACCCAGCCCTGGAGGGCTGCCAGGGCTTGGCTCATGGCTCCTCTTCCCTTCAGCAGGATCTTCTGAGCTCCTCACCACCTCTGCTCTCGTAGGCAGCCCTGTGAGACACAAGGCTCTCCCTCCTTCACAGTAGTTTCAGATCTGATGCCTGGGCAGCAGCTCCTCTCCTAGCACCCTGGAATGGTGCTCAGTCCCTTCCCCAGCAGGAGGAATGACTTCACATGTGGCAATACAGCAGATGAGAACAGGATGCTTTCCTAAGATGGGTCCTTGCAAGCTCAAGGGCTGTGTCCAGTGTGAGAGAGCCTTTTCATTCCAGACCACACCTGGAAGTCTCAGCACCATTCACAGCCTGGGCTGAAGGTCCCAGGCCTCCTCCTCTTCTGCCCCAGCACACAGTTGCCCAGAAAGAGACTGTCCATCAGCTGAAGAGACCAATCTGCACACCACTTCCTGCAGATGAAGGGTGGCTCGGAGAGTGACTCTGGGACCCAGGGACACAGCTGTTCCTTCCCACTCCCTCTCTCCACAGCTGGCCACACTGCAGTGCTTGAAAAGATACAAGGACATAAAAAAAGAAAGGAGAAGGAAAGCTGCCTAGATCAAACCCAAGCAATGACAAAACAAAGGCATGGACAAGTTGCAAGTCCTGTGGGAAGAGCAAGCAGCAGACATTTCAAGGGCAGGTCAAACATGACCCCAAATATTGAATAACAGAGTCAAAATGCTACATTTCCATGGGAAGCCTCAAACAGGTTGACCCAGATGTGACAGCAGCTCCCAAGGCAGTGCAGCTCCACGACACGTTGCTGCTGCACTTGCTCACACCTCTGCATCCCTGTCTTTGGGCACTGGGAAAGGGGGGAAGTTGTTTTATTACTGGAATGTCATTGTTGGGAATGGGAAATGAAGCGGACCTGGGACTGGGTCCCTGGGCAGATGGCCATCTGGGCAGGTGGCCATCCTCCAACACTGCATGGCCAGCCCCTGCTCCAACAGCTCCCACAGCAGGTGTGCCAGGGTGATGGACCATGGAGAGCAGTGTGGGGACTGCCAGGAGGCACAGGGGCCTATCGGAAGCTGCTGGGCTCTGCCAGGACCCCCAGGAATATTGGCTTTTCTGGCTCTGCAGCCCTTTGGTCCCTCCTCCATCACAAGGGGCAGTGTTACATGAGCATTCCCAAACTGCCTGTGGCCCTGTTGGAAAGGTGCTGTGTTCTGAAAAGGACAGAAACAAACCAGCTAAGTGCTGGATTTCTTTGAGCTCTGCAGGTAAGGGATCCAGGGACAGCAGAAGCTCCTGCTCTTCAGACAGCAAAACCCAGGTGCCTTGTGAGAGCAAAGAGTGGGGAGAAGGCAGCTTGGCAGAATTGACTCAGCCAACTCAGGAACCCCTTCCGAAGCGACTGTGGATCTGCCTATTGGAGCAATGGATGCTTCTTGTCCTCGGAAGCTGTCCCCACCCTAGAGAGGGCCTTGCTCCTAATACAAGGACCAAAGAGGGCACAACTTCCTTTGTAGAGGACTCTTTAATAGGTGGAAGGGGATCAAGCTATCCAAGGATCCTTTCTCCCAGAGAAGTGCTGGACAAAACAGTCTGAAGTGCAAGAAGAAATGGAGCCTTTTCTGCACCCAGCCAGCCCTGGCCTGGCAGGGCCCTGGGGCTGCTGAATTCCAGGAAAGAGGAAGAAAGCACAGACGCTGGTCATGGGCAGAGCAGCTGCCAGGACAGCTGCTCCCTGAAGGGGCAAGAGGTGGCCACTGGTTTGCAGTGCAGTGCAGGGGCAAAGCAGTCATCAACTGGCCTTAAAAAGGGAGAAAGAATTCAGAGATAAAGGCAAAATGAGCAGAAGCTCCTCAAGAATATCCCTTGGAAATGATGTTAGCACAAGTACCCCCAGAGGATCACACAGAGGGAAAAACCCCAGATCTCTCCCAGCTGCTGAGCAAAGGTGAGAGCAGCCTTTAATGGGTGTGAGCATGGATGCAGGCAGGCAGTCCCTTCCCCTGCCTGGGTGACTCCAGTAGGTGCCAGCCCCCCGCTGTGACACCCTCCACAGTGCTCCCCCAACCCTCAGCGCCCCTGACCCGGGGCACTGGGTCACAGGGACCCAGGCACAACAGGACACAGTGGGGGCAGCTGTGGCACCAAGATGGGCCAGGGCCACCTCCACCCTCCTTCCCTGGAACCGCCCCCAAGGCCTGGGCCCAGCGCTGCACAAGGGCAGCGTGCAAGGAACAGGATGGGAGACGGACTGGTAGGAGAGGGGACGTGTGGAACCCTGGAGGACACGAGCAGGACGTGACAAGCTGCGGTCGGCTGGGGGAATCTCTGTCCTGACCAGACAGTTTGGCAGCACCAGT